GCTAAACATGACATCATATGGTATGGAATATCCCTTTGGTCAGTTGGGGTCAGCTGTCCCAGCTGTGTCCCCTCCCAGCTTCTTGTGCACCCCCAGCCTCCTCGCTGGTGGGGTGGGGTGAGAAGCAGAAAAGGCCTTGACGCTGTGCAAACACTGCTCAGCAGTACCGAATACACCTCTGTATTATCAACATGGTTTCCAGCACAAATACAAAACAGAGCCCCATTACTAGCCACTACGAAGAAAATTAACTCTATCCCAGCCAAAAACCAGCACAATTCCACTATTATATTGCATACTCAACTGAATAGATGCTATTAAGTCACTAGGGGCCAGCACTTTCTCAAAGGCAATACAATACTTCTGTAAGAGGAGCAATGTTTAAAATGCCTCCTGACAACTGGCAAGGTGCTGTGAACCAGATGGTTTAAAGCCCGCCATTTCATAGGCCTAGATTCCCTAGTGGACTTAGGTGGCAAATTCTTATGTAGTGTTCCTGATGTTAAGTTTAGGACTCTAAAATCAAAACTGGAATTTTCAATGCCATATTCAACATCTAATTTTGTGGGACTCACCCATAGTCAGTAGTAGTTGAGATATGAATTCTCTCCTCAGTGGGAAGAGATTAGAACCCACATTTCTCATGCACCAAAAAGTATTCTGGGGTTGGAGTTATTTCACTGTGGTCAAATGAAATAAGGATAGAAGATGCCAGGAAAACAAATTAACAAAAAGCCCAACAAACCAAAGGTAGAAATGAATGTCTAGCTTATTGGTAAGGAGACTATCTAATGTGGGCACTCTTTCCACCTAAGTGCCTGTGCTCTGACTTCCTTTTACTTTTCCTCTACCTACCCAATCTTTATTTTTTGTACGTAAACCAGAACCACTTCACCAAGAAGGGAGAATCCCCTTATACCATAGCTGCCTATGGAGTAGGAAAACAGGAAAAAAGGGAGAGAAGTAAGATTTGAAAGACTGAATCTAAGGGTCCCACCTGCTTTGTAACTGTGGTACTACAGTGGGGGTGCAGTCTTACTTGCTTTGATAATGTTTTAAAGGAGTCCTATCCAAAGTTAAGTTTGCAGATCTACTAGAGGTCAACTAGTTCAGCCAGGTGTCATAAGAGAAGATTGACTTTAACCTTGCCAGCTGCAGTTTAAATCCATGATATTTTGTCCTGTTTGAAAGAATGCAGACAGAAATTATCACTTCCTTTTATGTATAAAAATATTTGATGTCTTTCTTCGTATCGGCCCTCATTCTTCTCCTTCTAGTCCAACCAAGGCCATTTCTTTCAATCTTTTCTTTTAGAACCTATTTTCCAGGTCTTTCATCATCCTTGTTGCTTTCCTCTGGACTCTGGTACGTTTCTTGGTGGGTGGCTGCCAAAATTACAGACTACACTACAACACAGTAAATGAGCACTCTGCAAGTCTTACCTACACCAATTTTGGTTAACTTCCAGTCTAATGTTCACTTTTTGACAATAGCAAGAAATTATTATCCACTATAACCTGACTCTTTCATCCAGAAGTGTTACTTACCCATTTTTTTCCTGGGATCACTTTGTGCTATTGCTAAAAAATAAAAGACACCCTTTACTTTGTGAATAAAAAACACATGCACCAAGTCTCAGACTGAAAGTCCTGAAGGAGGCACCTTCCCATTACCCTGACAGGTATGTTTACATAAGTGGTACTGGATTTAAGGCATTCTCTCCTCAAAACTCTAAGCAGCTTAGTAACTACCATTCTGACTTTTCAGATTCAATTTTAGAAATGCTTAATTCTCCCCTGGGATTTCTGGAGCAGTCTTAGCTTTCATTGATAGTTGCATGCTACGGGAAATCCCTGTACAGCCGCTGAACTTGTGTTTACACTGACTAAGGCCTGTGTACTTCATTAATGACAGAGGTGAAAGCAGCTACAGACGCAAAACCACATTTGACAAACCACTGTTTGCTCTCCCACCAAACCTGTATCAAAGCAGAGACTTCCACATGCAGGCCAGAAACAGAGCGAAGCGGACGAGGGCTACACGATAAACGCCAGAAGCAGGTAACCCCGCCACCCACAAGTACACCCGCGCGGAGGCTGCAGGCAGAGCAGAGCACCGCACCGCCGTGCGGCAGCGGCGCCTCCCCTCAGGCCACCCCGTACAACCCCGAGCGGAGGTGCCGCGAGAAAGCGGCAGGACCCAAGGAGGAGACGGCGGGCAGGAACTGCGGCAGGAGGACTGCCGGA